TCAACGGCCACGCCTGGATATCTCTTTAAATCATTCAACTTGTCAAGTACTGCTTTCTTTCAAGCTGTATTCCGCTACTGGATTTAATGATCACTCTACTGGGGTATCAGGTTAAGGCTACATCAAGCATGACACGAAACTTTGCTAGATGTAGTAGGTAGTATATCTCAGTTGGAATGCAGTTGAAATCCAAGGGAAACATTACAACATGATTTGGGTATGTTCTTTTAACCTGTACTTATACGGACGTCTCTAATCAATGACAAAAGTCCTGCACGAGCTGAGTAAACACCTTCTCAAACTGCTGAAGACTCTCAACTTCGACCCATTCCTCCTTAGCGTGAAGGCCCTCTCCTGCCGGGCCATACACAATGGATGGGATACCAACAGCGCCGAGCAAGGCCGCATCGGTCCAAAATGGGCCAGCCTTGATAGCGGGTTTACTCCCCAGCACGGCAGAGGCACAAGCAACCGCCTTCTGCACGAACGGATGATCAGCTGCCACCTTCTGTGTAGGGCGTGACATCGTAATACGCGGCTCGGCATATTTGAAACGAGGCTTCTGCTCAGCGATTTCCTTCAGTAGTGTGCTGATGTCTCCTAGAATGGACGCTTCCGTTTGAGCTGGGACAGTGCGGAATTCGACTGTGATAGTACACTTGTCTGGATAGGATGAAGGTTCTTCACCACCCCGAATCAAGCCACAGTGTAGCGAACCCTGTCCCAGGAGATCATCCACTGGCAGTTGGGATTGGTACTTCTCCAAAGCCTGTAAGAAGGATCCGGCATACAAGATAGCATCTTCTCCTGATACAGGGTCGGACCCGTGCGCAGCAACTCCTAGGATATCAACTTCCACCCACATGAATCCTTTGTGGGCAGTAAATATCGCAGCTTGGGTTGGCTCGGGAAGTACAGCAGCATCGGCACGCCAGCCAGTCTCAATAACATCCTGAGTTCCCTGTGAGGCATCCTCTTCGTCTGATACTGCAGCCACAATAACATCGCCACGAAGCACGCGGCCGCTGGCTTTAGTTGCTGCAAGGGCAGCTAACCCTGCAGCCAATCCCCCCTTCATATCGAGGCAGCCCCGGCCAAAGATAACCTCTTTGCCATTCTTGGTTCCAATTGACCCGGATAGGGGATCTGTCTCGTAGCTAGAGAGACTGACGGTGTCTGTGTGGCCGTTGAACATGAGAGACTTGCCACCTCCGCTACCTCGTAAGACTCCCACAAGAGATGGTCGTCCAGCAACCTTTTCAATCCAGTGATACTCGATGTCTCGATGGGCAAACCAGGCTGCGAGATAGTTTGCGATTTTGGTCTCACCAACTCCGTCTGTTACAGACAAGGTTGGGTTGGAAGAGTTGATTTGAGTGAGAGTTTGAGTTAACCCCACGACATCTTCAACAGAGACATCTTCTGGGACTGGGTACTCGCGCGCACCTTCAGTGCTGAGAAGAATGACCACAGAATCCTTGTTCAGAAGTGACGTAGCCTCCTTTGATGTAGCCAGCTGTCGCAGTGCGGCCAACGATGCACCTCCACATGGCCCAGCTGCCACAGACTTGGAAGTCAGATACTGCACAGCGCAGTGGCTCTCATAAGATGAGACGGTGACGCAGGCATCAACCAGACGCTGCATATCGGCCCAGGCAGTAGAAGAGACAGTACCGCAGTCCATACCATCCATGATCGTGGAAGAAGTTTGAACAGTAACCGGCTTTCCAGCAGCCAAGCTAGAAGATAGACAAGCAGCCGTGTCAGGCTCAACAGCAACTACAGACATAGGGGTGCTCTGCGACTTGCAATGCTTTGCGACCGCATGCGCAAGGCTGCCCACACCAGTAGGGGTAATCATCAGACTACCTGATAGACCAAGCTGGGCAAGTTCATTCTGGACTTCGTGCATCATAGTAGAATATCCCTCCACGATCCACGTAGGCACATCCTCATACCCCTCAAACGCCGTATCCTGAATGAGAAGTACACCCTGTCCCACACGCGTCTCATCCACAGCCTCCTGCACGGCATGATCATAGTCACCCTGAACAACAACCAACCGAGCCCCTTCCCCGGCGATAAGATCCCGAGTCCACTGGTTCAAAGACCGAGGAACGAAGATCCGCGCTTCTATACCAAGGAGCCGGGCCATGAACGCAACTGCCCGTCCATGGTTTCCCATCGAGGCTGTCGTCAAGACAATCGAGGCTTCCTTTGCTCTACTTGAGATTTCATCGAGCGAGACTGTAGAGGATAGGCCGAGTTGCGCGGCAATTGCTCGGAAACAGCCCCATGATGCGCCTAAGACTTTGAATGATGGTAGGCCGAACCGGTTGCTCTCGTCTTTTACGAGAACGTGGCCAACGCCCAGCTCAGTTGCGAGCTCTGGGAGCTGGACTAGTGGAGTTGGAGCATAGTTGGGGAAGGATTGATGGAATTCTGTTAGGCCTTCGATTTGCGGGGAGGCACTGCGCTCATTTGCTGCCGCGAGGTTGAAGTAGATCGACCTTCGTGATGACATGTTGGTGTGTGTTCGCATATAACTGATCAGTGCGCAATGCAGATACTTTATTTATTTCTGTGCCATTTCCGGTAACTTGGGCCTTCTAAAGACATCGCGCCTTCTGACGACATGTCGGACTCCGCCTTCTCATGACATCAACTACAACGAATTTGTGGAATTTAGGGGATTTTTTTAAGATTTTAAGATTTTCAGATTTAAGATTTTTATTCTGTGCGTTCTACTTGACAGGATTATCTCTCTTGGGTTTGGCACTAGCGCTTCTATACAGTTTGGTAGAAATGTACAACAGGCATATTTGAGGTTTCTTATTTCCACGTACTTCTCTTGTCTGAAAACTTGTATTATCAAATAACATATTCGAATCTAGGTCTGATTTAATGCCATTACAACTAAAAATGCCGATTACTTTTTCCCTTCAGCCTCTAGCCTGAATTGATCGTAGTGGACAACAGCTTCGAGAAGAGTTTGCGTACCCAGAGCACTGCCACTGTTAGGTTCTGAAAAAATCTCCAAAGAAACGAGAGGGACTTACCAATCTTGCGGACTGCAATATTCAGTCGGATGGTGGCTCACACCATCGCGGCAAGGGACAAAGATCATGGCAGAGGGGCAGTGTTTGCTAGTATAAACAGTATCATGACCCGCACCACTGGTCATGAGCATCGATTTTTCACGCCCAACCAGCTGATCCGCCGCAGCCTGGATAGACGCCACGCAGTTGTCGTCAAACTTGACAGCTGGCGAGTCCGTATCCAACGTCCAGTCAAAGGATACACCCTTGCCATCTTGCGATGCAATCGCTTCAAACGCCTTGAGACATTCGTCCTGAACGGCGTGTACCACACTATCCCGCGGGTGTCGGATATCAAGAGTAAAAGTCACTTGCGATGAGACGGTGTTCGTAGACGCGTTCGAGGGAACTCTAATAATACCAGTCGAGGCCAGCGCATCGTGTCGCTTAGCGATATCATGTGAAGCGGCAATCATCCTAGATGATGCAAGCAATGGATCCTGACGAGCACTAAAAGGTGTCGTTCCGGTGTGAGCATCTTTCCCGTGAACGATCATAGTCAACCATCTGTATCCCTGGGCACCCCGAACGATACCAATTGATCGGTTATTTTCTGGGAGAATCGGGCCCTGTTCGATGTGCAGCTCGAAATGAGCTCCCAGGGGGTATCCAGTTGCTGGATCACTAGAACAAGCAATGTCGCCCAGATATCCGTGTCTTTCAAGCTCGGATCGGAGAGTCACACTCGGATCGTGAATATCGCGCAGGCCCCAAGCTTCTTGAATTGGGATGGCTCCAGCCCAGACTCCCGAGGAACACATTGATTTGGGGAATCGGGCACCTTCCTCACTGTTAATTCGTGGTTAGTACCAATCCCAAATGGCACGATACAACAAATTCTGATGCTTACTTGGTCCAGTTGACCACTCCGACATCATAGTTAGTCTGGAATCCACTTTCCTTCATCGTCCGAAGGATCTCAAGTGCAGCCATGACACCGACAATACCATCATACCGACCACCCCGGGGCTGAGTGTCGAGATGACTTCCCATTGCGATCATTGGAGCAGCCGAGTTCAACCGGCCTGATTTCCGCGCAAACATGTTTCCCATCTTATCTACAGAAAGAGAGCAGCCCAGCTTCTGGACTTCGGCGGCGAACCACCGACGAACACGGGCATCATCATCATTGAGGGTCAGACGAGCCATCCCTGTATCTGTTGGGTTTCTGTGATAGCGTTAGATTGTTTTCAATGGTTTTTTGCGATATTAGTACATACTCGCCATAGCGATGTTCAGCACCCCATTCACAAGTCTCGTGTAACGTGTTCCATAAGCGCTCCGAATTGATCTTGAGACCCGATGGTGCTTGTAGTCGGGTGGCAGTAGAGAATCGCCGGGCATTGGAATGAAGAGCGCGTGTTACGCCTTTTGTGCCGTACATTTTGCAAATAAAGTGACACTGGCCAAACAACTGGTCTTCTGACAGAACCTATGTAATTTCAAGCAGACCGCGGAAGGTGAAGGGTTGGAATATTAAAGGGCTTTATTGGGTTAAAAATCGTCTGAAGGTCGTCTGAGACTACTCACCAATCTATGACTGACAGCGCCTTCTCGCAACAGATGTGGATACAGTCGCAGGAATTATCGAACCTGCTAACCGTATATTTTGGCTAGATAATCAAATAATTGTCAGGTAATGTCTGAAAAGACCTACAGCTATTCGTTATAAGGTCAACGGCTCATTGCGGGGACGCCTTCCCGCAACATCTGCGAACCCTAAATCTCTTACCGAAACTACACACCTATCAACCCTACAAGAGGTTGGAAATACAACACGTCAAAAATGCACGCAGATGGAGCACTTGTTGAAGCTTTGTTCAAGCAAGATTCTAAAAACTAGTTCTCATAATATCAGTACTTCTGTGGATGTGGACTCACTGCACCTCCCGGCTATATAACCTAATACATTGACCAGCCACCACTTGCACAAATAACCTGGCCCGATACCCATGAGGCATCGGGTCCTGCCAACCACCCCACAATGCTCGCAATCTCCTCCGTTGTGCCAAGTCGCTGCTCGAGAGGCGTTGTCATCTTCTGCATGTCGACAATTTCCTTAGGAATGTTGTCCAGCATATCGCTAGGTACAGGTCCTGGCGCCACAGCATTGACTGTCGTGCCATTCCCACCCAGCTCGCTAGCCCAGCTACGCGTGAAACTTTCGACAGCGGCCTTGGACGCGCTGTAAAGGCTGACGTCTTTGAAGCCGGCACGCGCTCCCACGGAGCTTAAGTTGATAATACGGCCCTTGGGAGCTAGGTACGGAACCACAGCTTGCGTCATGAGCATAGAACCACGCACGTTGAGGTTGAAAACATTATTGTAATCCTCAAGCATTACGCTCTGCATATTTTTTACCGTCTCGGTGGCGGCATTATTCACCAAAATGTGGATTTGAAGGTCATCGCTGCCAAAGTAAGCCTTGAGCTGCGAAATGACCTCCTGGGCGCCCATGATCGTTGACAGGTCAGCCTGACAAGCCCATGTGATCGGCTTGTGAGGGAGTTGGCTGATCTTAGCCCTAAGCTCCTCGACAAGTAATTTACTATTGTCTGAGACGTAGGTGATACACACCTAGTTCTCGTTAGTCTTTAAGTTCTCGTTTTCCAAAAATACCAAAGAAAGAATGACTGCATTACAGCAAATTATTTCTTACATTCGCACCACGGCGGGCAAGCTCCCATGCAATGCCGGCACCAATACCACGTGATGACCCCGTTACTATCGCTAGCTTGCTTGGGAGAGGCAGCGCGAACTGACTTTCAAAGTCCCCCATTGTGTCGGACGTTAGGGATGATGCTAGTTTACGAATAAAAGTAATTCGTACTGAGGTCTATTGTTCCTTTAAATTTCTCTCATGAGCGTGAAAAGGGAGGGATATCAAATTGAGATTTTTTTTCAAAGGGACTACGACCGGGGCCCTAGCATTCTTATACTCAGTTCATCTCTTTGTTTGCTCAATGACGTCGTAGAATTGGGGCTCGGTGATAGGGCGTTAACGCCGGGATTGACGCCAAAGGCGGTTGGAGGGGAGGTTACGTGACGGGGCATTGGTGCACCAAACCGGAAAAGGCAATTGACAGGTCCGTTTACACAAACTAAACGTCAAATCCAAAGCGCACTATGTATATTAGAAAATAGAGAGATCTTAGTATCCCCTTTCTATCCCCTTTCTCTTCCTCGTTCCTCTTAGGGACCGCCCTTCTTGTTGCTTACTAAGTTCGTTATAGTTAGATGTTAACTGTCTTCAGCTTCAGTACTCCACCCAATGGTCCGTTCAACCACTCAAACTATTTGAAACAGAAGATTCAACGAACATGGCCAACGACTACATCGAACAAGATACCAAGGCAAAATAGACCGGCCCGTCCCCGCGATCGACTTGACCGAATAAATTAAAACAAGACACGCAGTCCTCGAAGCACCCGGAAACAACGACCTAGCTGCGTTCGATTCTTTAATGTCAAATTTTGGTTTGCAGCGGTTCCAGCTTAATAATGCTCCAGATCGTCCGCCTGTCTGAAAGTCATGCGATCCACGCGTTAGTACGCTGTTAGCCTAGGTATATGAACGACAGACAAGGGTAGCTGCATGATAGATTTGGCGCTTGTGCAGTTTTAGATGGACCACACGGGATAGGTTTGCCGCGAAAGTACTTTTTTTTCTCAACAGGTTGTACGTCCAGGCCCTTTTCCTAGTGTGTAATTGGAATTTGGATGTTTGTTTTGTTGGGGCGATGTCGAACAAATCATGGAGTTAGTGCGGCCTTTTCTCGGGCTTCTTTCACGCTCTACGGAGTACGGAGGGACTTGTCCCACAATAATCGTTGTTATCGAAAATTCCATTGTGCTCATTGGGCAGTTTGAACTTTTTCCCCGCTACAATTCAACGATTGTACTATGGTCAATAGTACAAATACAGCTTGATACCCCGTCGGATCGCCCGGTGTAGTGTACATGGTCTTGGGGGTTCGGGCTGCATCACCTCTCTTTTTTATTTTGTTGGGAAACGAGTGGGAAAGGGTGGACCGACATGATTTTTTTTTTTTTTTTTTAGCAAAGCAGCTAAAAGCTAGAGCAGTGTGTTCATTTCGTATTCCACTGATCTTCAAGGCGCAGTAGTAATGTACCATGGAGGGGCGAAGATCCCGCCGTCAAACGTACGATGCATACTACATCGTAAGGCTTGATACCACCTAACTGGTACTAAGAGATAGGATCAACTCAACATTAGACTATTTTAGATTCAAGGATCATTTCGAATTGTTTCCACTAATGCAAATTTTAGAACTGAACAGAAGTACAAAGTACGTATTGTACTTAAGCCCCCCTTTTCGTCCCACAATCAGTTTTGCTCCCCACAATACAATTCAGCATACAAAGCTTTGCTATTTAACATTTGAGAATGATAACACATAAAAAATAATATAATAATAATAAAAAACAACCTGAGAACTAAATTAAAACATATTGCAAATACAGAGCCTCGTGACCTAACAGTGTAACAGTGGGACCTACCCATGTGGCTTTGATATTTGAACATCAAGTATTATCCCTTTGATTACTTCTACAGTGCCAAAGTTTGAGACGACTACCTAGGTATGATCAACAGATCAACAGCGCCAATAGCGCAAACGCAAAAACACGGTTTATGTAGCTTTACTCATTCTGGACACCACATTCTCCAGGCCCGAGGTCGGCGATCTGGTCTCATGATGAGCCTCTATGATGGCGAACCTTGGAAGTTATATGGGGGATATTCGGTCGGAAAATCCTTTGACATCATAAAATCATATTATGACATATCAAAGTGAAAGTAACCTCGGGAGTGATAACATAGAATGATCTGGGGGGAAGAAAACAATCTATAACGGGTATGTACGGAGGCCTCAAATATTCGAATGCGGCATACGGAGGTCTGGCTTAGTTCGGGAATGACTGGATACGCTTGTATTGAATGTCACTGACTTGCATGTCTCCTGTGGCCCGCTCTCCCCTGGCCCGCGACCATCCCCGGACCTTGGCCCTTGGCTAAGTCCAAGGTTACAACGCCCGCCTATTGGACTCGGACAAAGGGTTCGACACGAGAACAACTAGGCCGTGGTCAGTTGAACTAGCGTTTCTTCCCGACTAGAAACCCCCCAATGAGGTGGCGGGCACATCTTAGTCAAAATTCTGGAGGGGCAAGCTTACCCCGGAGCAACGGAAGGGACCTTCCAACCCCCGCATGGCCGAACCCAAACTCATATTCTGATGTGATAGTTGCAATGAAATAGCTGTATGATTAAATTGGAGTGTATTGAGAATGTATCCCATTCAATCCTGATTCGGAAATCAAAGTGGATAATCTAAATGTACCTGTAGTAGGCCGTCTGCGGCTAGACAGATGTGTACAACATAGAGTGGTATTGTATTTGAATTGTAAGGATGCACGGACCATTCCCAATATGGAAGGGAAGGGAAAAGGGAAGGGAAGTGGCACATCCTCCCGGACTACTAATATTGTCGTGAATCCCCTCTTCGATCTCCTTTTCTTTTCTTTTTCTTCTCTTCTCTAATTGTTATAACCTGTTTCATCCTTATTTATTAAATTATAACCTTCCGACTCTCAGAGTGAGTTCATTTTCCAACCCCACTATTTACATTAATAAAAGAGCTCACCCCACCTTGGACTTTTCCCCATTTCGAACCTTTCGCAATTCATTTCCTCTGACATCCGATCTCGCGCAGAATATCATATAACTCATTCTGCATTCATCTCTCCCATTGGACTCCGCAATCATGTCGGACGGCCCCATTCAGCCTCCCAAGCCCGCAGTGGTAAGAATCACCTAACTGGGATGGCCAGACCGTTGTAGCTACGGTGACCGCAGTAACATGGGTTAACAGTTGGTGATATAGGTGCATGAAGCACACGAGGTCGACACTTTCCACGTTCCCAAGGCATTCCACGACAAGCACCCCACCGGCACTCACCTCAAGGACATCGACGAGTACAACAAGCTTTATCAAGAATCAATTAAGAGCCCCGACACTTTCTGGGCCCGCATGGCCCGCGAGCTCCTCACATTCGACAAGGACTTTGAAACCACACACCACGGCTCCTTCGAGAACGGCGACAATGCCTGGTTCGTCGAGGGTCGGTTGAACGCATCGTTCAACTGTGTTGATCGTCATGCCCTCAAGAACCCAGATAAGGTCGCCATTATTTATGAAGCCGATGAGCCCAGCGAGGGCCGCAAGATCACCTACGGAGAGCTGATGCGCGAGGTATCTCGGGTTGCCTGGACTCTGAAGGAACGTGGTGTCAAGAAGGGTGACACGGTCGGCATCTACTTGCCCATGATTCCCGAGGCCGTGATCGCTTTCCTGGCTTGCTCGCGTATTGGTGCCGTGCACTCCGTTGTCTTCGCTGGTTTCTCTTCTGACTCCCTTCGGGACCGTGTCCTGGACGCCTCCTCCAAGGTCGTCATTACCTCCGACGAGGGCAAGCGTGGTGGCAAGGTCATTGGCACTAAGAAGATTGTGGATGAGGCTATGAAGCAGTGCCCCGATGTACACACCGTGCTGGTGTTCAAGCGCACCGGTGCCGAGGTGCCCTGGACCGCTGGCCGTGACATTTGGTGGCACGAGGAGGTCGAGAAGTACCCCAACTACCTCGCCCCTGAGCCGGTCAGCTCCGAAGACCCTCTCTTCCTACTGTACACTTCCGGTTCAACCGGCAAGCCCAAGGGTGTTATGCACACCACTGCCGGCTACTTGCTCGGTGCTGCTATGACTGGAAAGTACGTGTTCGATATCCACGATGATGATCGCTACTTCTGCGGTGGTGATGTCGGTTGGATTACCGGTCACACCTATGTCGTGTACGCCCCTCTATTGCTAGGCTGTGCCACCGTCGTGTTCGAGAGTACCCCCGCCTACCCTAACTTCTCCCGCTACTGGGATGTCATTGACAAGCACGACGTCACACAATTCTACGTTGCACCTACCGCTCTGCGTCTGCTGAAGCGCGCTGGGGATGAGCACATTCACCACAAGATGCGCAGTCTGCGTATTCTTGGATCGGTTGGAGAGCCCATTGCTGCAGAGGTCTGGAAGTGGTACTTCGAGTCTGTCGGCAAGGAAGAAGCTCACATCTGCGACGTTCGTTTCCCTTCCCCCTGGATCTTTTGGAATAGCTTCTAATTTTTGGATTTGTAGACATACTGGCAAACTGAGACTGGCTCAAATGTCATCACCCCTCTCGGCGGTATTACCCCCACCAAGCCTGGCAGTGCTTCTCTGCCCTTCTTCGGTATCGAGCCTGCCATTATCGACCCCGTCTCCGGAGAGGAGATTCTTGGCAATGATGTCGAGGGTGTTTTGGCTTTCAAGCAGCCGTGGCCCAGCATGGCCCGCACCGTGTGGGGTGCCCACAAGCGTTACATGGACACTTACTTGAATGTGTACAAGGGTTACTACGTAAGACGCCTCGCAATCTGACTTTACGGAATTGACGCTAACTCATATATAGTTCACTGGAGATGGTGCTGGCCGTGATCACGACGGCTACTACTGGATCCGTGGCCGTGTCGACGATGTAGTCAACGTTTCTGGACACCGTCTGTCAACCGCTGAGATCGAGGCAGCTCTTCTTGAGCACCGTAAGTGCAACCGCGGTACATTCCAAACTTCCAGCTGAGCCTAAGCTAACTATGAACAGCTTCCGTTGCTGAGGCTGCTGTCGTTGGTATTGCCGACGAGCTGACCGGCCAGGCTGTCAATGCTTTCGTCG